TTTGCGGCAAGTCCTCCGCAAAAATCAGTGACATGTTGCATTCGACAATGGTATCTATATGTTTACTGCAAGCATCGAGCGAAGCGCCCACCTGCACTGATCAACACTTCAGTCTCAGCATCCAAGGCTCTGCCTAAATTGAAGCTGTCAGACAGATGTTCAGCCACTGCCTTGCGCAATCGAATACGTCCTTTTGGAAGACTATAGTGGTTTGCAGAAATATCCTCAAGCGCATCTGTAGCCGCTGTCTTGATATAAGCAGCTATCATTGCCCATGTATATAGGGATGATGGAGAGGTGATCTAGCATTAACTGTGTACGCCTTCCTGATCCAAAGGCTACGAGGGAAGTGAGAGGACATCGTTCACATACGTGGAGCCCAACTAGATCACAAAACCAAGGATTGATTGTGGTCAGCCCATCGTTTTCTCAGATACATTGCATCAAATGGGTCTAATACTAGAATTGAGCGATATGATACACACTTCATGAAACCTTGACCGAGGTTCAACGAATCCTTTGAGAAGTATGAAATTGATCAGCGTTTGCCCAACGATATGGACAAGCTTGTGGGTAAGCCAACCTTGGGCATGTATCCTGAAGCAGGCGAGAAGACACTCCAACAGTCTAAGCCTTTCTCTAGTTCAGGCTGAACCTTTTCAGAAGGTGTGATTCCTTCGGTTGGCTTACTTAAGCCAGACATTGAGAATGATAGAGAACGGTGAGATCGATTGATGTGATGTTTGAGAAAAACCCTTTGAGTTAGCCGAAGAGGCATGTGGTGAAGCAGCGAGGCTCAGTTGCGATCGAATTTTCTAGTGCGATCACACCTTATCAGTCGGCCCCGTGCTGTGAATCTGCTCAACACCAGACCGGGCTTTAACGGGGTTCTATTTCAATTTCGGGCCACTTTTTTGCTTGAAACCCCCAATTGAAGAGAGTTATGGTGAACGGGTTGGCAGCTTTCTTCAATTGCGGATCTTGTTCACAACAGGTTTGCCAGTTGCCCTCGAGTATGCCTGGGCATGCGTCCCGTTGATCCTTCCATATCTGTATCAAAAATATCCCCAAACTAACCTTCCAATCATTCATCCCTTCATAACTCCTACTTTTGTTGTCCCATTTCCTGATACCTCATCACAGGTGCACTGATTACCAGTAAGAGCGTTGATATTGAACCATTGGACCAGCACTGATTCAGATAAGACAATCCAATCCAAGTCTAAATCAACTTCATGGTGGAGAAAGAGAATTCAAAAATGAAATTTGGCACATATGTAATTGGTGGTAACCCGGCTGTATGATGGGTTTCACTTTTGGCTTACATGAGTATATGTTTAGGCTACTTTGAATCAATAAATTATCTTTAGACATCATAAGAAGAGGTTATTAAGATTGAATATGGCTTATTTAAGGATTTAAGTGAAATATATACAAGGTTTGATTATAACTGAGGCTATGGATTGAAGAGGAAAGATGATTTGAGGGTTTTTGTCAAATTCTTAAAAGCTGTTGAAAATTGGTAAAATTGTAATATGTTTTTATATAAAGACTAATGATGTTTTCATTGGAATACTTGTACATCTTATGTAATAACACATCATATTCCTGTAGTTTTGGATCATTAGTGTGCTTGCCATCTGTTAGCTTCTCATCGAATGATCTTTGTTTCTCTTCTGCAATCCATGATCTGTTGTTTGTGTTGGCTTGTTGGATCAAATGATCCTCTCCTTTCAGTTGTTATGTGTGTTACATATTAGTTACATAATGATTTTGTGTATATAAACTGCCTAGAGCCGCATTAGGAAAGGGGTTTCTTCTTTACCCTTTCCTATTTTCTTCTTATGTACTCTAGTTGAACACAAGAGTTTTATGCTGGATTTTGTTCCCTGTTTTCCCTATCTCATACTTCAATTTGGTTTTTAAAGTCATTATTTTGTTACTACATCTGTACTAATAAGATCACTGAATACGGCCCCTTCATGGTAAAGGAGAAATTTCTTTAGGTTTTTAATTGGAATAACACTTTGATAAGTGTTTCTTGTGTGTTTAAAAAATTAAATAGTGTGTTTTAAGAGTCTTATGAATTGGGAGTAACACTTATGATAAAGTATTGAGCAAATTTCTCTGATGCCTTATCAAACTTCCCTGTTACAACAAATTGGTGAACATGTGCCCAAGGTTGATTGTTTTGGAGAAGGCAGTCTAAATCAGACATCTCTACTAGTTCATTATAGTAGAACTCCCTTCTCAAGTTATTGTATAACCCTTGTTGGATTATAAATACCACAACAGTTCCTGATAAGATTGTAGCAACACACAAACCCCATTGCAGCATACTGCCATTTGGTTCAAAGTAGACTGTGCTGGGAATAATTTTAGTGGCCAAGTACCACAACTGCACCACGGTCCCAGAGTCAAAAACTTACTTGGGGGAAGCGGTGAGCTAATTTGGGCCCCAGCGCGCCGCTGAGATACTCACGGGGAATCTGTAGCTGGGAACAATACAAATTTCAATTGAACATATCATACAAATGATATGTCATTCCACAACTGTGATTTCCCCCTGTTTTTCTTTTTAGCCTGCTCAACTGAGTATCTATCAACATATTTGATGGCATCACCATATTCACCTCTGGGGTCTACACCATGTTTAATTCACTTGCATGAACAGGCTGACCTGGTAATGGTGGTGGAACATAGTCCTTTGCAGTCCTGGGAGCAGATAACTGCTGCACCAGAGAAGACCTGTTCTGCCACACAAGTCATACCTGAAACTGCAAGGTAGTCCCGTTCAAACTTGGGAAGTCCTGGGAATACAACCTGGTTAGCCTAATGTTTGTCAAAAGCATAAGAAGGACAGTCATTCATTCCAATGTGTGATTGGTATGTCTGGTACTACTTACTCTCCGCCAATAAAGTGCTGTCTTTGTTTTGTCAAATTCACACTGCCCTCCTAAGTAAGCGTCCAGCTTGCCTTGTGCCATCTGTGCAGGGTTTGAATTAGTGAATTCTTTAAAATCATTGTCATTGTCATTGTCATCAGTGGCAACAACTGTGATATTGGTTGGTGGTGTCAATTGTTGCTTGGCGGTTTCAAGTGTCAATTGGAATTTATTTGTAATGAAAGTCAATGCCAATTCCTTTTGGTCCAGATAAAACTTTTGGAAAAAAGCCAGTCAATGTCAAGGGTGCATAACTGTTGATAATATCAATGCCTTGCATTCAAGAGACTTGTCTAGGTAGATTTATAACTGATCTAACCTGACACCAATCATGTGTTTGAGCGGTTTCATTTTTGATTTGGTCTGAGCGTCATTGAGTGAATTCTTGAGTTGATTGTATTTGATCAGAACCATAGCACCTGAGGAAAATTCCCCCTCCATGTGTTTGCTGCCAATTGAGAATATCTGTGAAAAGACTGGGTTAATGAAGTTTGAAATCTGAATACAACTTATAATACACACCTCTAACATGTTTTTCAGAGCCTTAATTGCATTCATCAGCATGAATGGGGGTCCCTTGAAAAAAATGGATTTCTTGCGGTCAGCTGATAGCATCCTGTTAACTACCTGTTAGCAATGAAAATTATCAGTTATATGTATAAAAAAGACTATATTTTCACTTACTTCTTGTGCCACACACATGCAAGACCATGAATTGTAAACTACATTCCAGCAAGTGCCATACCCAGCAATCAGGATTTGGTGGTCCAAGCCAGACTGCTTGCAAAGGCCTCTGAATTCTTGACGTTGTGGATGGGAGCTGGCAATCTTCTTGCCAACAAAATTAACCTGTTAAATGTTGGTAGTTAGGGTTAATAATGTAATAGAAAAGAAATTTATTGAAATATTAACTCAATTCAACGGTGGCTGTCTGTTCCAACTCTATAATCTAACACTTGTGAAACTAATAACAGATGTCACAAATGAGTTGTACCTTATAACTCTGTATTATATCATTTGTAGAATGATTCTGCATCCAAAAATCTAAATACAATACTAATTATCTGATAGGATCCTTTATTCTCTGACGTAAAGAACCCCAGTCTGATCATAACACTGTTCCAATTATGTTACCAGTATGCTTTCCTGAAACATCCTTGATGGATGACCAAAGGTTGTCATCATCATTGACAGAACCTTGATTGGGATCATCCGGTGGATCTTCATCTTAATCCTCATCACCTGAGTCAAGGACAGTCTCTCCTTCACCATTCTTGCTCTGGAATCTTGGAATTTGGATGGCCACAGTTGGATCAGTTGTTGGCTTCAAATGTGCAGACTGAATTGAAAGTGATCTCAATATGGATTTCACCACCAATGCCAACTTATGGCAGTAACACCAGGCATGCATTTGACCAGTGTCCCACCTTACAGAATTTTCTGCTGCTGAAAACATTACCTCCGTCATGAAAGCCATAGTAAAGTTGGGAGAGCCAGGGTCAGTGGTCTGACATAGAACATGATTATAGGACATTAGAAAATTAGCAACTTGATCTAATAATAAAACTGAAGAGATAAATAGAACACTTATCTTTTGATGTAGACCATGACAAATGAGATATTGTGCCACCGTTTGGGTCAAAAGATCACCAATGTGGTTCCACACAACCATCTTCAGGGTTAGAAAGACTTTGTAGTACTTGAAATCGGAGTTAATGGAACAAGCTATTAATGCAATGAATGCATAGCAATTACCCTTTGTAGTCCATACATCATGGATCAGCCATATGCAACTGGTGTTGTCCTGCATGGGCAAACATTTGTGAGTGATTATAATTGAAAGAGAAAGCAACAAATGGGACTATGTGATATTTAACCAACACTGAAATAATGAATTTGAATTGGGGGTTTTGAATTTCTGGGTCCAAGATTGGAGAAGAGTAGGTCTTCATCAAATCATATACCACATCCCTACTTGTGCAATATCCTGGAATTGATCCTTATTGATGCTAAATACAAGGGGTACAAACCTTCGTGAACGGTCGGCCCCGCATCGGCCCTGTAGCTCAGTTGGTTAGAGCGCGTGCTTCACATGAAGCCTAGATCGCACGAGGCCCCTGGTTCGAGCCCAGGCAGAGTCATTTTTACCTAGCTGTGCTCTTCCCTTCTACATATGCCTGCCGAGCCCATGAGGTGAAAGTAATTGCAGTTGGGACTTTCACAGCATGTGTGGTCAAGGGGTTTGTTGTTTTGTTTTGTGTCAATTGTTCATTGGGGTTCCTTTTGGCACCAGCCGCTTCTGCAACCATTTCAAAGTATATCAGTATCAACAAAAGAAAGAAAGCCTATGTTGTTTCTCTGAGTTAAAGGGGTACAGGTTTTGACTTAGAGATAGCACTCTTGTTGAAGTGCTAGGCTTGGTGTGTTTGTACCAAAACCCTGAACAGGACCTGTGGACCTGTGTGCTTTCAGTGGAGATAGTGCTATTGCTGATGAGCTGTGCCAGTTTATCAAGCTGTCTGGGGTCAGCTTTGGAAGTGGTGGAGTGGATTTGCTGAGAGTACGCTTGATAGACAGTGAGCATGTGCTTGCCAAGGTTGATTGACTGGAACTATGCTTTTAAAATTTGTGTAGAGATACATAATGTCATTGTGATGTCAATGGTTCTTGTGTAGGAGTGTTACATATCAGTGACAGCCATTGTATTTAGAAAGTTGTGCCAAGCTGGAAATTTCACCAAGAATCCTTCTCTCTCCCTTGAAGAAGAATCAAAATCGTATTGTGGAGACATTTAGCGAGATTGGTGAGCTCTGAGCTTCCTACATACCTGCATACCAAACTTGTCATATCTAATCAGTTGACAATTACTTAATTCTTTCAGAGCTGAAAATCAATTGCACACAAAAAACAGAAGGTGAGTAGGGTAGAAAGATTTTTAAACACTCCTAGGATTCCAAGCTATGATTGGTTTTCTTTTGACTTTTGACTTAGGCTACAAAGTCAGCTTCTAAGCAGATACTATGAAGGTGTCAATAATACTGATGTTAAGGATATTCAATGTTCTGTGCTGCATCATTCATCGTCCAACTCACTGTACTGGATTCACAGGCTTGGGTGTTACAGAAGGATGTAAGTTATAAATTGCTCTATGCCCCTTATCTCAGAGAGTATTATAACTCTCACTGATTTAACTTTTCCTTGTCTATCTTGAGGATTTCCTTGTTGAGTAGCTACTGTAGTTATAGCCAGGATCTCATATCCATTTAAGCCTTCTCTCTCTCCTTGCTCCACCACTTAAGCTCTGTTTGTCTCTCGTTCCACTACCTCTGAGACTGATTTAATTTCACCTCCTTCTTTGGCCAAGTGAGTTTCATTCTATCAATCTTCTGGATGAGGCTCTTTTATCACATTGTTCTTCTTCTTAAGTAGGGGTCCTGGGAGCTGATATGATATGTGTGAGTGTATGAATGGGAGTAGGGGACTTAAAAGTGGGAAAATCATTTCCTATCTTCCCGATTCTCCTTGGCGGCTTACCTAGCTGCCTTAGGGACCTAGGAATGCCACTTTCTCCACCTCAGACTCTCATACAGTCCTCAAGTTTCCAGTTCATGTTAGACTTCAGTGTAATGCTGTGACTTTGGTTATATTGGTGAATCAAAATTATTGTGTAATAGACAGCTAACCTGCAACAACGTTTTGCTCTTTTTTACCTTGTCTTGAACAATCCTGGCTTGCAGTGCTGAAAGCGTAGAGATTGGTAGCCTAGCAGGAAAAAAAGTGGGCAAAGCTCAGTAGCTTCAGCAGTAGCAGAATACTCTTTTTGGCCAAAGGAGAAGCTGGTAGCAAAATTTTCTTGCACAGCCGTCTGCAGAATGAAAAATGATCTTCTAAAACGCTTATCAAAAAAAGTGTACAGAATCAAAATAAAGACAAAATAAGACTGTTTGTGTAGAGAAACAAAAAAGTAGAATAGCAGGGGTGATGGGCTGTCTGGTAGTATAAAGTGGAATAAAAAATTGGCTTTGGGCAAATATGATAGCATGAAGTGTATGGCCACTATACTGTGCTGCACTTGACGCTACTGTCTGTGCTGTGAGTCATAAAAATTAACCGTTTCCTCCAGTGCTGAGTTTTTAGCTTGGGATAGGGAGAAAACATGAAGGCTAATGTTTTCTGTATCTCAACAATTTTTGATGAAAAATTTATGATCAAATAAGAATGAATGGTTCTAAAATCATTCAAACCATGTTGACTAGACTTCTTCAAACAAACAGTTTTGATGGTTTTGAAACGGTAGGAAGTAGGCCCTGTTTGGTATGGCTTATGCCTTTGAAATTATATTGATGGGCAATACATTATGTGTTTCAAAACATGTTACGTTTTGAAATCTGGTTTCAAAAGTGTTAAAAACCATTAAACTGCTTTTCAAAGTGAAAAGGGATCAATGGTGTTTAGTACATACCATTTACTATCACAATGTCTGACTCCAAGTCCAATTACAAGAATTCACAATCAACCATTTCCTCAGTTGATTACTTGTCATTGATTGAAGACCTGATGGATGACTCCATGGACAATTTAAGCATTGGTACCCTGTTGGATTCATCATCTCTAGATGAATCTCACATACTCATTGCAGCGGGTGTTCTCAATATTGAAGAGATAGAACGTGAGGAACCCTATGCTAAATTCCTTGTAGGACTTCAACTCTTGGAGGCTATGCTTATGCGAAAGGACTATTCAAAGGTAGTACTTTCTGGAGGTCTTGAAGCTTTAAAAGCACTTCTTCAAGCATCTAATGACCAACCTCAAGTCTCTATTGGAGCCTTCAAAGCATATAACAATCAATGAACAAGTAATGATGTTCTTGTTCATTAGTGTGCATTCAGTAGAAATGAGACATGCTGCAGAGCAACTCCAAAACCCAACAGAAACAGTTCATCAATCTTTTCATCTTTTTTGAAATACTCTTGAGGGAGTTGTTGATTCTGTGATTATTCAACCAAGACTTGATGCACCAATACCTGACAAAATTGTCAATAATCCAAAGCTCCATTCATGGTTCTCTCAATGAATTGAAGCTCTTGATGGTACTCACATTACAGCTCAAGTCAAATTTGCCAACAGATCTAAACATTGAAATAGACACAACATTTTATCACAAAACATCATAACCACTTGTTCATCCAATAGAAAATTTCCATCTATCTATGCTGGGATAGGTGGTAGGGCACACAACTCCTTGTTGCTCAGCAAAGCATGTGAAAATGGTGCTTTCAATTTACCTAAAGGTAAGTATTTTAAGTGACACTTCTGAGGTCAAGATACTGATTCAAATGAATTTGTAGGAAGGATACTATTAGGGAGATTTTGGATATGCTCATTTGATGTGTTCATTCCATGCTCAGGAACTTGATATCATCTTCAAGAATGGCATATTGGCAGTCATGCAATTCTTAGAAACTTTACAATCTAGATCATCTTCCAGCACAAATTTTGATTGAGCACATACTTGGTGTTTTGAAGATGTGATCTCAAAAAATGAAACACATGTCATGTTTTGACCAAGAAGTTCAATATGCATTTGTGGTAGCATCTGCAGTTCTACAAAAAATCATTTGAGAAGCTGGACCTGAAGAGTCTTCCTATGACAAGTATGAAGGCTTACAACAGGAGGAAGATAATATTACTCATCAAGATTTGGCATAGGCAAATGCTAGAGCAAAAAAATGAAGATGAAGAGCCTGAACTTGAATTCAGATTGTGGCACATGCTCAGTGAGATAGTATGGCTGATGAGGGAAATGTTGGATGTTCATTTGGCTCATCCACATAGACAGTTGGAAATGAAATTTAGTTTAATTAACCATTCAGATAGACCCCAGAGAGAAGGAATAAAAGAAATTTATTTGAAACACAAGTTAAAGTAAGGCTGTTTCTATTTGGCGCCCACAAAAAACTCATGTAGGTGTACCTTTTTTAGCACCTACATGGGTCTTTCCCACGTTTTCACACCTACATTTCCACAAAGTTGGGATGTAGGCATAAGAAATTATGCCCCTACATGGGATCTAGGCATCAGGAATTACACCTAAATTCTGGTCTCTGGAATATAGGTGTAAAAAACTATGCCTACATGTGAAAATACAGATTCAGGTTTTTGATTTTACAGCGCCTACATCCAATTTTGTGAGAATTTAGCCGTAAAAGCATGGGAAAGACCCATGTAGGTGCTAAAGACGTATACCTACATGGGTTTTCTGTGAGCAGCAAAGAGCAATGGACTTGATGAATAATCTCATTTGATTACATCTCCTCACCACTCACAACTCATCAAGAGAGGGATCATATAGGCTGATGTTAAGTTGGGGGTCAGGGCAGATCAAGTTTTTCTAGGGATTTGTCATCTGATCAAATCAGATTCAAAAACCCTTGAGAGAAGTTGAATCCCAAAGAATTTCTCTCACAAAGTTCTTCTTCATCAGAGAATTAATAAAAAAAAGTCACTATCTTTGTGTGTGTGTTGATAGAAATTAGAAATATTACAACTGATGATTTACTTAATTACATATTTTTTCTTGATTGATCAACTTTTAAGGAAGAAGGTTTACAAATTCTAAAAATCATCTTATATAGCTTTAAAGATCACTTTAAGAATGTTGAAAAGATGATTGAAAACTTTTAAAGATGAATTTACAAAGAGAAAGAAAGTTTGAAAGAGAAAGTTGGATCAATCAGGTTTTCAATTTATTTTTACATATTTAAAAAAATGGTCTTCTAATCAAAAAAAAAATCTTCAAGATCTCAATTGAGAATTGTCTCAAACTGATTTCTTCTTTCTCTTCCTAATTGCTCTATATGATCTGATATCAGAAATCCATCATCAAATCTAGTTTATGAAATGTGTTGATGTTGTTTATGATTAAATTCTACATGGAACTTTGCGGGTGAACAGCTCTTGTAGGCCTATGATAAGATATGATTTGCGAGAGTTTTCGTAATCCAATGGAAAGGAACATTTGTCTATCTGGTACAGGTATGCGGAGCTTTCTTTGATCTTGTAAGGTATTCAAAACGTCTTTGAAGAGGAAGTCATTAGAAGCTTCTGAACCTTTCTCTAGTATTCGTGATATAGCAAGTTC